TTGTCGTAAGAGGTGGTGCTGGCTGAGGATTGGATTTCACAAGCGGTATCGCGGGTTTCGCCGAACGACGAATGGGTCTTACAACCGGTACCTTTGGTTGTGCCGACCGAGGAATGGGTACTACAACCGGTACCGCAGGTTGTGCCGGTCGACGAATGGGTGCTAGAACCGGTACCTTGGGTTTTGCAGGCAGCGAAATGGGTTTTCGAACAGGTATCTGGGTCCCGCCTGATGTCTGGCCTGTCAAAAAAATGCAATTCTTCTCTAAACACTTGTAGGCAGTAGTGTAAGTAAACCGTCCCAGCCGAATGGCACAAAACCTGCCTTTCAGCACTCACCATTTATCGATCTTCTGACTTCGCTGAAGGTGTTTTTTCAATTTCACTGTCCGGATCCATTAGTTTAGCAGAAATAATACAAACTAACGCAAACCAAAAGCGATATAGGTAGGTCGACGTATACTTCCAGTTAACCACAAACCACAGTCAGGAGGTCAATTAAAAAACAGAGGGTATAATAAGATTCCGGACATATTAATTAAGACTTATAATTTTCTTAGCATAAGGTAAACAACACCAGAAAGCTTTACTAACCATAATTAATAGACCTATCCGCGCAAATAAGGGGATTAGTGCTCTAAAAAGGGGATTGACCGAGAACTGGTGTGGCTTTGTTAAGGCAGTCAGTCTTCTTGACGTTTAATTAGTTTTCAAATCGATTTCAGAAGCATTTGACATGAATGCTCTCTTTGGTTGCAAATGACGTCTTTTCTATATTTTAAAGTTGCTGCAAGCCTACTTTCCAGTTTCACTTGCTGCTTTTATTTCCGAATATGGTTAAACCACATTTTTTGTCGCATACCCGGTTTTCATACTAAAAGCTGTTTACTTTCTATTTCGAGGGAAGAGAGCCGTGTCGTGTACTCTACAAGCAGTATTAACAAATGGCCAAACGCGATGTTTTAAAAGGGTCGTTTAATGTTTTTTTTCTTTTTAGCTTAAGAAGATATTTTTAAGTAAACAAAAAACCCTTTCTTGGAGTAGAATTTCTCCACTGAGATTTTATTTACTAAGAGTACGATCAGTTATGCACAAGAAATGCTACTTTATTCATATCTGTCATTAACAATATCTTGCCCTCTACTATCATTGACAATCGATTAAGAAATTTAAATCATTTAGACATTGTTGGTAAGGATCGCAGTTTTTTTTTTCAGACAGAGGCTCTAGTGGATCTTATATATCAAGGAAAATGCAGTTATCGAAATATCGTGACCATATTTAATGAGCAGTTCACATGCTACTAAGCTTCGGTAAGTAACGTGTATTTTTAACGCTAAACAGGGGTAAGCCTCGGTTCTGGTAAATTGACTTACGCATCAGTTCATCCGCTGTAGGCACGACGATCAACCCATTTATGGGAACTGGGACCTGGCTACCCCACTGACCCATAAAGTTGCCGGGGGGATTGTACTGACCAACTACGAACACGCCATGCCCATCCGCTGTCTTTGCCACTCCAAACCCGGCAAATTTGGTATCTTTCCAGACCACCTGCGAGAAGTGACCTGTCAAAATGAAAAATTCAACGGCAACATTTATGATCTGTGATTTCAGAGAAGCACTCTGGCCTTTAAAATGCCCTATACTGCTTTTCAGAAAGATATGATCCCTAATTTGTACTTCGGTATACGTAGATTGTCATTAAGAAGAGCTCATATATATCATAGCCTCGTGTGGCAAACCAATGCCTATTTTTTTAACAGTTTACATCTAAAT